TACTTACTTACGCCTGTTACTTCTCGTAGAAGAGCATAGGCCGCACACCAGCACACTCCATCTAACCTTGTCCTAGGCAATCCTTTCCAATTGTTATTTCATCTTTTTCATATCTGGTTCGATTTCCCGACGTAATGTATTCTTTGGTAACAATATTTTAACTTACTTATTACAAATCAATCTATACACAATCAGTATTTGATATTACCATTTCTGTCTTTCTTAAATGTATCATTTATTTATTTATTAAATTTGTTAATTAAATTATAAAAATTCTTTTTATTAATTTGTTTTAAATGATAAAATTCTTTTCGAATTTTTCAATGATCCTGAAGTCTCTTCAGTTTTCTTTTACATATATATGATCAGTATTTATTGGTTTGATAACATTATCTAAATCTCATTTTCTTCAGGTAAGACGAATTATAAAAAAAATTCCTTATAAATTTACATGATCATTGATAATAAATAAATAAATTAGATGAATTTGATTTTGTTGTTGAATTTCAAAAAGACACTTTGTTTTAATTATTATTATTATTAAACAAGATTCATGTATTATTCATAAACAAAATGGGATTGATTAACTAGTTTCACATTTTGTGTGTTGTTTTATAAATGAACAAACAATTAAGTTTTTTGTTCTTGTTATTATGATTGATTTCATCAAACAAAATAAAATTATATTGTTCTAAATTATTCAATGTTTTATTCGTTAGGTTTTGTTTCAATTCTTAAGTAAATTGATGCAGAAAATGAATTACATTTATTGCAATCGTTTTTTTGGTCAATGGTATATTAGTTTGATTTACATAATCAGTGAGTAGGAAATAAAACTATTTTGGTGGAGTTTTGTTCTCTGAGAACGATGAAAGCTCTACGACCAAACCATCCAGCCCAGAGAACAAAACTCCAACAAAATCATCCACCTGAGCTACAAATCTTCTCCACCATCTCAAAATAAAACTATGATTAATCTAAAATTCTAATTTTGCTAACTAGTTTTTAAATCAGATCAACCAAGTAAGGTCGCTGAAATCACAATATTAGAGGCCTGAAAGCTTTTTCAATAAATAAAATGACTAGTATTAATTGTATGTATATTCATTGCTGAAAAAAAGAGTAAAACTTTATACGAATCATAATTACAAGGACATAATAGAACTTCTTAAAGGATACAAATGTCAAAGATTAGTATTCACCTTATTCTGACTGAATTATTCGAACTGATATCTACCGACAGACACTTTTGGCACGACATACCAGAGATAAAATTTTTCAACGGTCAACTAATTTAAGAAACCTATGTACTAGAAATCGTTGATCTAAGTCGAACAGAAACCCAATGATTTAGCTAACCAATGGCGTCAAACAGTTGAAATATCGATCCCCTGTTTCCTTATGGTAAACGTTCAAGCAGCCACGAGCCTTTATTTTAAAGCAATGTAATTGATTCTACGTTATACATATACGAATTACTTAGCATCGTTAAAAAAAGGGAACCTTGCATGACGTTCGACGTATTTTCAAGTTTACATCAATTTCAACTCGCTTTTTCGCTCCATTAATCAATTCATCTTGTAACTGCAAAATTTTCTGCTTATAGTATTGGACTGTTCTCAGTTACTTTTATTATTTTAAATTTAACGATAATGAATGACTTATTTTCCTTATTATTTATCTCCCCTGTTTCAATTATCTGATTTAATTAAAAAAACTTCTTGGTTTGTAGAAGATAGGTATTATATATTACTTTGGTTGATACATCTATGTCTATGGGAAGGGACACAAGCAGAAACAACTTAATACCTAGGATAAAAATATTGTGCTACTGAAAATTCTCACCCAGTCACATCATGATATGAGGAATGGTGGAGATATTTTTATCAAGAAAACCAGGAAAAATAGAGAAATTACACATAACAAAATGTGTACAACCGTCCAGTGAATATTCTTAAAAGTATAGTATCGGACTCATAAAACAATAAAATGTTAAGTTTCTCAGCATAAAGATCCCATAATTCTAGAGACAGTCAAATCACAACATCAATCAAGAAAATAACTGACTTGCTACTCTGAACCATGCAGAAAGTATTGTAAACTTTTAAATAAATATTTATAATATTCCAGTGAGTAGAAAAATTAGATTTTCTGATGTTTCGTGACTCAGTGTAAGCCACATCTTCAAAGATTAAATAACCAAATTAGAATTATTTATAACAATCTACTAGTCACTAGTGAGCATATGTTGATTAATATCAGATGGGTTTTGTGAAGATTGTAGTAATTTCAATGGTTAAGATCATGAGTCAGTTGAAGCTAGACCACCATGGAAAACCTGGAAGCACTGGACGGTCATTTCGTCCTATTTTGGGACTCCTCAGCAGTGCGCATCCACTGACTTCATGAGGTATTTCCTGAAGTTCTAATGAGAATTAGTGACCAGTGGAGTTCAACCGAGTCTGTTGTGAGATAGTAACTCACCGAGATATTAAGTGGTTCATTAAAAAAAAATATTTGTTAAATAATTTTTTTCAAATTAGACATAATTCTGTATACATGTACAATATAAGAACAAGAGACAAAAGAAAGCCACAACGATGATAACATTAATTCGAATTATATCTATAGGTATATTGAACATACACATATATATTAAATATTAAACAAATTAAAATACACAAACATCAGTGTCAAATACAATCATTTTGCCGTTGTTAAATATAACACCTATGAGTAATTGTATAAAAAATATACGATGACAATTTATTATTTCCGTTAATTGCTTGTAATTAAAAGAGGAACGTGTGTGTGTGAGAGAGAGAGATAAATCCTGATATCATCATTACAATTAAAATGAATTCATTAATTAGAAAGAAATAAAAACTCGATGGTATATATTTCTTCACTTAAACATATTCTATTCAAAATTTATTTTGGAAGAAAAAGAAAACAAAAAACAGAAAAAAATTATTGGGGAGGGATACAAAAAGAGAAAAAAAGACAAATTATTATTTAATTAATGTAAAATCATTCGAACTATCTAATCTTGAAGATAATGTTGAAATTGAATGTTTAGCATTTTTTAAACCGGATTTTTCTATAGTTCTACCAATTAATGAACCCCAAATTAATGTGAATAATATAATACCAAGTAATATTTCAAATAAACATTTTATAATTGATGTTAATCTATCAGTTGGATATATTAATATTAAGATAATTAATAAAATTGTTATAAATATCGCCCATATTAAATGCAATAAACGACCATGTATACATTGATTCAAACCACGAGTTAATTGTTGATCTATATCTAATAATAAATCACGTAATCGATTTAATTCATTTGCTGACATTGTTTCACCCTCTATAGAATAAAAAAGGAGATGAATTAGTACTGTATTATATTTAAATATATTTAATAATAATTAATATAAAGTAGATTCATTTTGTCTGTAAACAAAAACAATTAGACAATAATATCGGATTATGGTTAGTAATTGAATTTATCATGTGAATTTCGCTTTCTTTAGGACTCGTCAGCCGGATCCATCCGTAAGGGACCCAGTGTAGATCCTTAGATTGTTATTCCAACCCAGTAATTTGCGCCTCAAATGCTCATGTTATTCATTCGGTTATAGGGTCTAGACAGCCACAAGGTTGTGTGAAAAAAGGTGAAACATGTGTCACTATCCAAACTTAGTAAAAATGGGTATATTAGGCTAATTCGCTCAGGATTTGCACACACCAATAATGTTCCATTGTAAATACTTAATACAGACACGAAAGTATAAACCCTTGAGTGAATAACAAATGATATTCTACAACGATATTAGTTTTGCTCGCAGTCCTGGGTCCGAGTCATGCCCGCAGGGTCGTAGATGCGCACTGCCGAGTAGTCCCATACTAGGATGGAATGGTCATCCAATGCTTCCAGGTTTTCAATAATGGTCTAACTTAAACCAGTTCATCATTTCAATGAAATCCAACAATGTCCACGACCGTATAATGAAACTCTGCTTTAGTTGTGATAGATTTTGAATTGGAATATAGTGCATTGACATGAATCGATTCATGAAATCTCCAAATGCCAGCAAAATGACACATGTTTCATACATTTCTAAAAATCAACAACTAATGAACTGACGGACCGTTTTTATTAATATACCGACCTTAAATACTAAAGTCTACTCGACAACATGCTTTACTTATCAATTAAATAAAAGTCTATAGTTTTATTAAATTACACCTAACCTCGTTTATTTATGTAGAAAGTATTCGCCTCAGATTGCTCTCAGTTGAGGTACATTTGAAAATCAAAGAGCAATCGAGAGCTGCTTTGTCCTCATAATAGACTTGAAGTGTCTAGTAATATATCAAATTTATATACTTTATTCTAGCTTCAGTATATCCTGTAGCCACCGAGTAAGTAGCATAGTTGTTAGGAAACGGGTACTAGGTAAGGATGGTAAATCAATTGATGAAGTAGTAATACTTCATCATTTGAGATGGCTTGGACATGTGTTACGTATGCCCAAACACCGACTGCCCCGACGTGCGTTGTTTTATGGTGTAGGAGTAGGTTGGAAGAAAGATAGGGGCGGCCAGACCAAAACATGGCACAAATACATGAAGTCACCGACAAGTGGACTGAGCCGTGTTGGTAGGTGTAGACTACCTGGTTGGAATCCGTGAGACAATAGCAACCGATGGTAAGAACCCTGAATGACATGGCTCAAAGTTGTCTGCAGTCGCGCGAGTGCATCTACTCTTTGTGTTCTCCCAAATTCTAATCTTTTGGATTCTTCATGTGCCTTTCCTTTTTCTCTTTCTAAATTTATTTCACTGGATTATACTCCTAGAGTAACATCTTCAAACCCTAATGTTTCCGATTACTGCTTATACTCTTACTACCTCTACAACTACGGTATTTCAATCGACAACTGCATCTCTGTGCTAATGTGGTATGGCAACTCGAACTGATGTACGTACGTACGAAGTTCTACGTTGTTACTGACTGAGTGAGCTTCCGTATAGACCAGTTTATTCGTTCTTGAATCAAATTTTGATGTTGTTAATTATTCACTTACTAACTTTGTTTTTTTAGTGCATGTGTATGGATTGCTTACCGTACTCATCACATGTCTTCGGATTACTTTTGTCTGGCTATATATATTAAGTCTTGCTTTATCAAAACGAGTTGGCCCACTCGCCTTTGCCGCTCCGCTTCTCTTTAACGCCTCCTATTCTGAATGTCCGTCTGGATAAACGAGAGCATGAAATAAATTCATCCAATCCAATCTGTATTTGGTTTCTTATTACTGTCGGATTAGCATGGGTAATATACGGAATTAAATGAAAGATTTATGCTCATAACATATTCATACGTCTATCAACATTGGAATCAGATCAATGAGCTATCAAAGGCTTCTTGTCAATGAGTAGCCGTGACCTCAACAGTCACCAAACTCACGATCTTCAGATTTCGCAATGAACACTTAACCCTTAGAACTAATGGGCCGGCGTCGATTCATGCACTTTTCCACTTCAAACAATTCGCAATTCAGTGCAACGATCATACATGGCATTAATGGCGAATATTGTACTCTAGCCTTGTCTGAATTTGTTGGGGACGATAGATCCCCAAAACTCAAATTTTGTAATTTACTTATCGATTAAATGTGCAGATAGGTCAATTGATGAACTATCGATTAAATGTACAAATAGGTCAATTGATGAACTATGGATTAAATGTTCAAATAGCAGTCAATTGTTGATTAATGTTCAAAAATCTTCCATGACAATATCGATTGTAAATATTTGTATAAATACGCTTGACTTGTACGCTTGATCTGATCTGCCGCCAGACTGGTTATCTGCTGTTTGTCTGTAGAATACACTTTCTACACCTTACCAGACTTCTTGATCGAGTTAGCAGAGTTGGGGACAACGGACCAGAATAGACTATCGAGATTCTGAATCCTTGATCCGATCGATAAGTCACTGTCATATAATCGGCTGTCTCTTTGAGCCATAACAGAATTCCGATCGTCACGAGCAACAAGTCAAAGATAAAATTATGTTGATAAAGCTGAATGTAAATATTATGATGAAATAGAACAAAGAAACGTCGCATATCAACAAATGAAAACATTGATTACTAAAATGTACAAGTGAAGCAAACAATTCAACCAGGATAATTTTCTTTCAAATAGGGAAGTTCACCTAAAATTTACAGAGTGTATTGAAAAACTGCAGGGGACTCGCCAGTAGTCTCTGTTGTTTCAAGTCACTGAGTCCCATGGTTTCTATGAAACTAACCAAGAAATCGTGAAGAATTAGCAAATGTCGATAAATTTATTTTTCATATAACAGAGTCATCACAAATCTGAATTACACGCGGTCCATTTAGTAGTCCCGCCACATGGCAGAAATTTAACGGATATAAAGAAAACTATATACATATGGCTCTCTTAAACTATCTACAATTGAGGATTATTAAAGTGTCACTAGAAAAACAGACCTATGCTATACTTTATATTCTTTTTAACAACGTCTGAATTACATACATCAGAAAAACTAACACATATCCGGTGCGTATCTGATTAAATTTCATTGGGCAATCAGCATCAGCCAAAGTGACTGCTTACTATATATTTCTTAAAGTCAGATTGAACACTAATATGAATAACTTTTTTAAATCTTGTGCAAAATGGATGGCAAGCACTAGGAGAATGTTTTCAATTTTAATTAACTTAAATGGCTATTGTTATTGAAGGTGGGTTTGTAGAGATTGGCTAAGTTTGCAAGCTGTATTCGTCACAGGTTGATCTCAATATAAGTACTGCTAAAAATCATGAAGTACTAGACAACTATTTCATCCCAGTATAGAACTCAGTAGTGCATGTCCACGACACCATCAGAAATCAAACCCATATTCTTCAAGTCTAGTGGTGAACATTCGACTAACTGCTAGCTTGACGTCCAATGGTACAATACCAACTTCAATCACATCGAGATAAAACGCAACAAATATCCAAGGCCATTAGTGACAACTGATTAACTTCCGATATGTTTGAACTCCAGTAGTCACAACATATTAAAAATCCATGAATATCATGATCTTAGTGAGCTGAATATTATAGTTTAGTTGATGGGATATTGTGCACATTGATTCAATTTACACAACGAATTCACCAATACAATCTACGGACAATCATGATGATTGTAATTCTAATCACATAACTACATGATAAGAATAAATACAGATAATCAAGTAGAAACATATACCTGGTTTTACAGGATTGCGTAATCTTGTAATAGTAAAGCTTGCAGCTACACCTTCATGATCGGAATAATGTAAACCATATGGGTCGTCAGGTACTTTACGCATATCTAACCAACACGAATCACAGACAAGTTTAGCATAAGCTATAGTAAAACAGAAATTAAGTAGAAAGACAATTCATAAAATATTTTAACTTTTTTATTAATGATGATTAGAAAAAATAAAGTAAATATTTTATTACTACGATATATAATTGTTCAAGAAATGTATAAACATATACAATACTATTTGTTCTAATATAAATGAATATTCATATATACAATAAAAACACACATTTTATTATAAAGTTATTGAAGTGATACAAAACAATTAAACATTAGACTTATTTCATATTATAGGATCAGAGGTAGTTAACAGTAAACCGTGAACATGGATACTATGCTGTTTGAGACTCATTATGAAGGCGTACCTGCAACCTTGAGGCAAATGATGCATTATGTTAGATTCAAATCAGTGTCACTCACTTTCACAGTTCAAAACGTGATCACTGAGTTACACATATAAAAAAATTTTCAAAATTTATATTCCCTTTTATAACACTAATTCACTAGATATTTTAAAGCATTATTATAATATAATTTATCCAAATATTACTGATATCAAATCAATAATAAAAGTGTAAAAATTCTAGAGTAACATACAGATTAACATGACTTAATATATTGTAGTAAGCGCATTCAATTACTGCATTATTTACCTACCCATTGGAATTTAAACACTTAATCCATAATGTAATTTTCTGTGTGATTCTGATTGAGCACATAACTGCACATCAATTTTAATCTATTCTCTCATTAGTTGTAATACACAGACAATCAATAATTTATCCATACTTGATTAACACTCAAAAATATATATGAATTTTTAACACACACACAAACATACTCTTGGTTTCCCTGTGTGCTTGCTTCCTATACGTTTGCGGATTTTACCAATCTTTAACAATAAACTATCTCTATAACTGGTGTTCAGGCATTTGAATAATCTCGGGTAAATCCATAATTCTACTAAGAGATTTAGCGTGCATTAAATACTCAGTTAACGGGATACTATTTACTGGAGTCAGATATAGGGGAAATTAACCTCTACAACATTAAACTTTAAGCATCTCAGTAACTAACTGTAAATATAAATGAAAAATGTGTTATTTTTTTGTTTTCTGATAAATAAAAGTTCAGTTTGTACTGTATTTGTTTGTTTCGATTTCTTTTTTCTCCACGAAATTGTTTATTTCATAAAGTGAAATTATTTAAATAATTAAATTCATTTTTTAATTAATCCATATTATTTAGACAGATTATATATGTATAAATACATCACTTTTTCATTCTATTTGTGTGTGGGCTGTGGTACTGCCAGGGTGCCCAGACCGAAGTAGGTGGTTTTCTTGAGGAGTCACACTCGGAGCCCTCGATCTAAAGGTTTGACCCACAAGACAGTGGAGCAACATAAGGAGATACAGTCCCTTGGTAGTCGGTGACCAACAATTGGTTCATACGCCATTTGTTCCTTTAGGATACTGGAGCCCATGTGCACCATTGGTTTAGAATCAGGGTTTTCCAACTCTCATAGGTGAGTCCTCCATATCCACCAACCCGGTTAAAGCGTTGACCATTAGCTTTTCGTCTTCTCAATTTTGCAAACAATACCCCCGTCACGAGAAGGCAGTGAATACTACTTCCCTGACAGAAGCTGTATACGCGTGGCCGTGTGATAGCATTTCGAGAGGGAGTGAGGGCCCTCCCCACTCCCGGACATTTGGGAGCATATATATCTGGTGCCCCCTTGTACCAATATTTATGTGTTCAAATAAAAAAACAAATAAATATATCACTAAGTAACACCGTAGATTTAAAAAAAACTGATATATTGAATAATCAATTAGAAAATGAAGGTAGAATTTATCAGTGATAACTTTTAAAAAATTTCATAGTTTCAGTTTTACAATAATGTTTTATTTTGAACTTAAACATTATGAATATTTTTTTATGCTTAACTGATTTTTAATCTCATAGTTACCAATTTAAAAAATGTATTATACATTCTAAATCTATTTTAAGCCGATTTGTGTTTAGAGGATAAAGTATTTTATAAAAGAATTAAGCATATCTTATCATTCTTATCCGTTTATGCAATTGACATTCTTCAGACTATATAATTGTATAAGAGATAGTATTTTTAATAGTTGAGATCATGTATCAATTGAAGCTAGACCATCATGGAAAATCTGAAAGTAATGGACGGCTGTTTCGTCCTATTGTGCGACTACACCGCAGTGTGTGTCCACGATCCACGATCTCACAAGATGGGATAGTGGAAGCACAATGCTGAGAAATCCGACAACAGGACAAAACGACCGTCCAGTGCATCCAGGTTTTCCATGGTGGTCTAGCTTCAATTGACTCATGAACTCAACTATTAAGATTACTATAATATCCACAAAACCCCTTCTGATATTAAAATATTTTTGTTTAGAAAGCAAACAAAAAAACAACTTTCTTAAAATGTGTAATTCACAAAAAGATAATTGAAAGTTGTCTATTATATATAGATTTTTTTACAACTAAAATATTAGTAGAAATGATCAGTTGTGTAGCAATCTCTTCATTCTCAAACTAACATCAAATGGAGAAGTGTCGGAAAAGTTAAGGGAGGGATTGTAATTGTGGACTGACGAGAGGTTTCAGATGATACATGAAAAATTTCGATAGCGTAATAAGAAGACAAAGATTATCAGAACTATGTGATGTATTAGTGCAATACGTAGCGTCGACCGTTCGATTACTAACCAATCAGTATATTCAGAATCGCCAAACAATATTCAATTGTTAGAAAAATAATATCCTAACATCAATAGTTCACCCTAAATGAAATTAGTCGGTGATGAAATATCATACTTACACTATACACTTAATTCAATCAGTTATAATCAATATTGGGCTTGACACAAATGTACATTACCACGAGTTCTAATACCAAATTAATATAATGAAATAAAATTAACAAAATGAATAAAAAAGCAGTCCAAATAATAGTAATATTAATGACTAAAATTGGATAATACACATCAAAAAAAAAAGAAATGAGACGATACGCATAACGTAATATTGAAACACAAGATCTAGAAGACAATTAAGAGTGTCACTGTGACCGATTCTAGGTCATGTTTAATTACTGACCATAATCATTTTCTTGAACATTAAGTCAGGTAGTTTTCAGTTACTAACATGGATAATTCCAATAGTTAATAACTTCTTACACTGATATCATAACGGTAATTACGTCCATGTTAAATCTAACAAACTAAAATTCTCAGTATAAGATTGCAGAGATTGTTGAGTTTTTAATTTGGATCATGAAGTGATCAATGTTAGACCACAATGTCTATTGTGAGACAGTTACTCACCGAACACAATGGTGGACGGCTGCACAATATCGTGGATTAGTTGAAGTTAGACATTAACACCGTTGGATGCCGGCTCAGTGGTGCAGAAATTAAGCGTTCGCGCGCGAAATCAAAGGTACTGGGTTTGAGTGAAGCGTGAGGGATCGCAGATGAGCACTACTGAGGTGTCCCATACTAGGATGAAACGACCACCTAGTGTTTCTAGACTTTCAATGGTGGTCTAACATTCATCAGTTCATGATCTCAATTAAAAACTGAAATTCATATTACCTACACTACTATTTCTTTTTACTGAAATACACACCTAAAAACTACTTACGTAGGTAGCATCTAAATGAGATTTATAAAATGTATTCATACTCATATATACATATGTATATGTATAGAGATTATGAAAAATTAATTTACAGATTTAGAACCATAAAAAATCAGAGTAGCATATTTTTCTTCCAAAAAAAGAATTCATTTAATTATCTTCATTTGGATAAAAATAGTGTTGTATTTGATTTTGGTTTTTTCATCCCACATGTCAAACTGTTTTAAATATATAATCTATTTTTCTACGCAAATACTATTTTTAAGGATATCCGAAAATAGTAATTACGCATGTATTAGGTTAATTGTGATTTCTTCCTTTTTTTGCTTACTTATTCTATTTAAATGTACTCCAACATCAGTGACAAGTACGCACATACCCACATGAATACTCACAGCTCTGATGAATCATACCTGTATGGTTATAATGAAGAAAGAAATATAAAAAAAACCGATTGTTTGCAAATATCTGTTAGCGAACATCTTAACTACTGTAGTGAACGAGAACATGAGTGGGGGTAATCGAATGCATTTTAATACATTATAGAATATCATAGTAAAATCTGTAAACCATACAATAAATACTTCATTTGCAAAGTGTTCATTAATTGTCTCAGATTTCGGTATCCGTTCATTTTCACATCAATTGCTTCCTGTCCCAGTTTTTTCCTCCTCGATCTTCTACAGCCAGACATTCTATTCCTGGTCAGCGTAAAATACTACTTATGTCGAGATAAGTAGCACACACTACTGTTAATTGCATTACTTTAATTTTTTTAAATTTACGAATGAGTTTGCTCATGACAAATTAATGTGAAGTGAAAATAGGGAAAAAAGTGGACAAATGTTGTTATGTTAAATTTTTCAACTTCAAAAGACTTTAACATTCTATATGTTGGGATATTCAGGAAAATATCCCAAAATTTATTCTATTAAGTCTAATGCTATTCTTGGACTTGGAGATGGTATTATTTTCTTATTGGTCAATATTGTACAATGTTATTTTCTATTTTATGGTACGATGTGGTCTGCTTGATTAGTATATAAACAGTGTTTGAAATATAATGATTCATATCCCCGAGGCTGTGACTTGTGTTCTGGACTCAACTGGCTGGGCTAGGCAGGGAAGCGGGACCAATCAGAACCCTAGGCCGTTCTACGTGTTTACGCGTCTTTGGTCCGATCAATAATTCACTGTCCTCTAATCTGCCGTCACAGCTATAGAATTATATCAGTCATAAACACTATAGAACCTGTTTCGGTTGAAGTTGCCACACTATATGAATTATCAAAATAAATGTCACAATAATGGAAATAGTAACAGTAACAGTAGTGACAGAAAAGATAAGACATAAACAGTAAGATTTAAGAATGAGAAATTAAAAATTAAGGTAATTTTAGAGCTTGAAATCTACGAGAAGATAGAGAGTGAGTTTGTACCATTTCACCTAACATTTTCAACCATTAGACCAGATAGTCTAGTGGACCACATATAGGGAATCTGTACCTACCAACACAAATAACAAACTGATACCATGTCGTGGTTTTGGTGTCCCTAGATTTCTTCCAGTCTACTCTGACATCAGTAAACGTCGCAAGTCGAGGTAAACCATGGTTAGGCATAAGTAATACAACATTCATTCTACCTCACTTGATGGAGTTTAACAAAATTAACCGATTTTTTATTTTCCCTAGTACCCTGAATTCGGCCTACATAGAAGGCATGATTGTTAACCAAATTTTCAAGGAAAATACCTCACAAATATCACTAAACCTATTCACATTTCCAACTTTAGTTAAATCTAAACATAAAAAGTGACAATTATTCAACTGTTTCACCTCCCAACTTGTTCAATGTTAACAATAATATTGTAGTCCGACTGGTATTCTTAAAACTCCAATGGAAAGCTAGTGATTAGTAAATATCTAAGATGTTTTCAGTTGCACACAAATAAATTATTCTGGTAAACAAGAGGGCAGTTCTAAAGACCGAAACCGATTCATAAGGAACTTAGTATTGTGATGATATTAAGATGATAAAGAAGCTGGTGAAGACCGTGGTGTAAATGAGTAGTATGTAGATTGCCTGCTAGTTGATCTTTCATTCTTTATGCCAGATTTACAAAAAAGAAATATCATATAACTAGATCTCTCAAAATATATTGATTTATTGTAACAAAAAAGACATTCTGAACTCTGAAGTTATTGTGCAATCACAAGTGTTCATACAGTGACATTTTGGTTATGAATGCTGTCCATCAAGTTACAATGTGGTTACTAGTCTGAGTAGCTCGATATTGTATGCACTATGATGAGCTTCAAGATCATAGGCACGCCTTTCTGAAAAGTGCTAAATAGCATTAAACTTTGCTCCAAGTTTTCTAATCGACCACCTTACATTTTAAGATAGAATATTCTAGATTAGAAAGGTTCATCCTACCTTCATGAAGAATGTAGTGTAAAACAAAAAGAAAATTGAGGTTATTTTCTTTTTTTACCTAGATATTAATGAACGACATAATCTCTAGGATCTCAACTAAGGAAGTTCTTACGGACCAATTTAATACCGATCGCATAAAACTGTTTCGTTCCATACAGTGAACAACTACTTACTTTTTATACCTATTAGTATTGGCGAATAATGCAGAGAGAAGAGGTCTTAAGACGGTGTGTTCGTAAGTCAGTTTCATCCGAAAAAAAAACGATGGTAATGATGATGGAACCAAGTTACCAATCAATCAACATTATTTAAAGGGATATAAAACCAAAAAAGGATAAATCAATCCAATAACAATAATATCATCACCATCATTATCTTACATGGTATATGAAATGAATCTATTATTGATGGCCCAGAACGATAAAATATGTAATCTAATCTTTCACCATTCCCATATGTATTTGTCCAAAGTTGATTACGATAAGGATTATCAGCTCGATCACACGTACATCCCTCTGACTCTAATTCTGTAATATTTGTATTCTTCAAAGCAACAGTCTATATATATGCACATATTTTTTATTTTATGGAGAAAAAAAGAATGGAAAACGTAAGAAAAATCAGTAATTTTAATTTTTTGGGAAAAAACATAGTCACTATTATTTTTTAAATGGCACATCAGCCAGACTGGCTCATCTGTGGTTATTGTATGGGGACTTCAGTCTTTGATTATAGACTCAGAAGACCTGTCAGATAGAATTATATCTAGTTTCAAGATCCTAGCTAGTGTCGCAGTCAGACTAACAACTTAAACCGGAAGCTTTGAAGTTAATCTACCTGGTCCTTTCCAAATTCGTTGAGTCGATAGGCTTACCTCAATTTCTCATTCAGATTGTTTAGAAAGTGGTTAACCACATAGTAGTTGAAGTTAGCTGAGCTGTTTTTCGGAAAGTTTCACCCATCGTCCCAATTTTCCAGCGTGACAGTGGACCAAAGTATATGCTTCTACTGAGATCGTTGCACTAACAACTGACTCTATAACACCTGTGTCCTAATATATCTGATCAGTTACCAACTATTATCTATCCAATCAGCCTGTCCCATTTCTTTTGTTTTTGTCACCAACAACTCAAAATCATATCACTGCTGTTTTCATAGCTGTTTTGATATTTTACCAAGCTTAACATTATTCTAGACCAAACGTCTCTCTATTTGTTTTTGAAATACACTCTTGATCTTCACATAATCAAGATGAACATTAGAGTCTTTCGGTAAGACGCATACTCACACCACAACACGATCCGAGGCTAAATATAAGCTCCAGAACAAGCGAGTTCTCCTACCGAGCCCCTCAAGCGATAGTTGATGTAAATATGGTTTATTCGTGTCAATTCTATGGTTAATCATGTTAAATATTTCTCTTTATTTTTGACAATGATTTTGTTAGAAACAAATTATTACCTGAGAATAGTTTCAACATGCCCTTCTTTTTATCTGTTCGGTGATTCGGGACACTGAAAGGCAGATCTATTTATTTTCTAGTTTCATTTACCCTAACCAATTGACCATCATAATAATCTCCTACGATTACTGTCTTAGGATTTAAGTGTTTTAAAACGGGTGTAAAGCTTCATATAAATTTCATTTCTTACTTCTGTCAAAAGGGAGTGAGTGAGAGGGTATACTGAGATGAAGGTTAACGATGTGTATCTTAAAATGTTCAAGTTTTTAAAGGTTCTGTTGATCTGAAAAGCACACAAGCGACTGTCTAATGAAATATATCCCAGAAGCGACTGTTATACTACGGGGCTTATTACTGCATTTACGTTAACCACAGCACGATAAGTAGGGATGATGTCTCCAGATGTACGAAGGGTAATTCGTCTTCGTCCATAATTGATTAGGTCAGGTCGATTGCAAGTTTCGGAGAGTTATATATATATATATATATATATATATTCCAGAGTCCTAACTAGTAAACTACTAAGCTGTAACATTCACGAATACATATATTGACATATACAGTTGACAAATAACCAACAGTGAATAATGTAGCTAGTTTGCCAAGTAAGTCTTTCTTTCTCATCAGTACATTTGTAGAAACTATTAATGCCATTCAACTGCCTAAAATGAAATATAGCATGATTTGAATCTATCAATAAAATATCAAATGATTTTAACCTTTTAAACTATTGTTTCATTAAAATATAACCAACAATATACATAACAAAAAAAACTCTACACATTTTAAAAACTGTCATTATTAGCATAAAATAGTATATAATAATGTACAAACTATAATAAATAGAAATTACTATACTACTTCTAATGGATATTCAATGTAATAATATAATCAGCTGATAATAGATCAATAGTAATTCTTTTTTCAAATATCATATTTGTCACACGAGTTAACCACATGAATATTATAAAATAACTACTCCCATTACATGATACTATGATAATGATGATGATATCTGATTACATCTTGTTTTTTATGAACTAAAATTATATAAGATTATATAGAAACATGAAAATATGTACATTTAATTGTAATTGTTACTTAGAAAGATCTTCCATACACGTATCCGTATTATATATATATATATATATGAAAATGTGGGCCCGCTTATTCTCCAACAATTTAAGATGTGGTTGATTGAGAAATAGTTTCCAATGCAAAATAATATCATTTGTAGAAGACTAGCGACAGTCAAAGAACTACATAATTGGACGCGTTTTAAACAATCTTTCCTCTTTTCTCATACGTAAGTTTTAGATAAAAATTATCAACTTGTGAAAAAAAAGTTAATATATCAGTGAAGATGAGTCTTGAAGATAATAACTTCATTCATAATCTCAAATGGAGTTAAGCTTAAAATGATACTTAGCATTGGCTAAGTTATAAAGTTATTATTAAATGTATGATCACATGTTTAATGATCCAGACAGTACCAAAATTTCGCATTGGTAAAGGGTTTTAACCATGATTAGGATACTGAAAATTCACTGGTTGATTTTAGCCGATAAAGAAAATGATTTTAAAGCACTTCCTTTATATTAAAACATAACCAGAGAGTACTGGGTAGCTGTTTTGTGCTAGCATGAAACTCAGAAGTGAACATCGGTGACCCCAACACGGTTCGAACTCGGGTCCTTCAGGTCTTCCAGTGAATGTATAATGGACTATATTCAGAGCAGCAATTATAAAGTAATTGAAACAGTTAAATTTTAACTAAGTTACTGGTTCGAACCCTGCTAAACTCATACCAGTCTAGACATCCAAGTAGTACCACTAGTTCTCAAATAAAAATATATAGCCTAATATAATGGTTTAATACACGAAATTGCAATCGACTATCAAGTTTTAGAAAAAAATTATAGTAATTACTTAAGAACTAGTGTAATGAGAGGGTATTTCATACTATAGTGATAGACGACCGTAGAATACATTATAACAATAGAACGTTCTGAGCTATCACGTTTATTAAGCAATACGAAAAGACAAGGAAATGGAAAAATGAAAATAAATATGGGGCAAATCAGTAACAGAATAACAAAATGGTTGAGAATTAATTATTTAAGTCATACTATTTTTATAACAGATAGTGATATTAAACGGCTGTCCCAACCAAATTAGACATGGAGCGTTAGAGCTTATAACTTACAATGTGAAAACTAATTATCTTAACTAATAATCCGTTGCTTAATAGTGAATGAATCTAAACAATAATGGTTCAGTCAGTCAGCTACAACGTAGGACCAGGCACATATATGCATCGGTTCAAGTTCCCATACCTAATTAACACACCAAGATGAACACAAAAGTCATGGAAGTAGTTAATTCAGTGGTGGTACGATATAAAAGAAAGACTGCATATAAGGACATAGTCCGGGAAGACAGAATTAGTTCGTAGAGAGAAAGATATGAAGCGTTTTAATCTCATACTTTAAAGAAAGACAAAGAGTGTATACACCAACGCCATTGTGATCGATTCTGAGCCGTGTCACCCAGAGTCTCCTACTATTGTTTACGATAGTCACATGGACCCCGACCAAATAGTCTGCATCTACCAAAATGGCTCAAACTAGAAGTTATTGACTTAAAGCACTGATGCCACGTTTTGGTTTGGCAGCCCCTAACTTTCTTCCAAATATCCCAAACACTAATCAGGATTGCGTGTCGTGTTAATCGGTGTTCAGGCATACGTAACACGTGGCCCAACCATCTCGGTCGATGAAGATTGACAACCTCATCAACTGCTTACGAGTATTTTCTACCCTTAATGGCCATGTCTCGCAGCCGTAAAGTAGAATAGAACAAACTGCTGCACAGTATACTCGTCCGTTAATTGATAGGCGGATATCTCGCCTTCGCAATAGGTCACGTAAGTTTGCAAGAGCCAAACGAACTTTTCGAATCCATGTTGAGATTTCGTCGGACACCAAAACTTCCAAGATGAGTGAAATTGTCTACGCAGCATACATAAATAGTACCACTTTCTAGAGTCTCAGCCAAGTAGGTCTGCTGACCGATTTGACATAGGGCGCATACGTTGAAGGCTCTAATGAGCAGTTTGGAGTGAGGTTTCAGTACACCCGAGACAGTGTTTTGACCACAAGAATCGTTGGCCATGGTGACACTTAGGGAGGAAGCCAAGAGCGGAAGCTTATTGTTTAAAGTCGATGTAGGAGGAAAAATAGGAATGGAGAAGGGAGGTTGATTATGAATACAGTGGTCTTGAGTGCTGTTAGAGGTATGTGCGCGGTTATCACTTCTCGGTTACCTACACTGTGGAAGGTCTCTTCTGGAGGTACCTGAAAAGGAAATGAGATTAGAGGTGGCCTTGGTGACCTGAGAGCGTGACCGCAGTATCCAAGGGACAACTGCTTGAGGTCGGTCACAAACGACCTTTTTGTCTTACCGTTCTTCAATCGACCTATCTGACATGATAGGACCTTGAGGAATGATTGTTACAGCCAGTATAGCTCGATTGGTTCATCAAGATAGGCGAGCCCGACCACTACGTCAAGGTAGTAACAACGGTCGGGAATCATGATGGTTAATTTGTAAACTATATCATGTGGTCTTGCTCATCACGCTATGATGATTATATTCAGATAGCTCACAATTTCCGAAAATACATATGCCTTAAAAAATTTACTGCGTATCATTTGTCTTGAAAGTTTGATGATATCTTAGGGACAATAACTGGATTCACAAAACATTTTAACAATAAAAAATAACTTAATAATGTGTAGCATATCGAAACATAATTCAGTTTACTTCCATATTGATCAAATATATTGCTAACTGTTAATTGATAATATAAAAGGTTGAAGTTAGACATTAACACCGTTGGTTGCTGGTTCAGTAGTTTAGAGGTTAAGTGTTTGCGCACGAAACCGTGGATACCCACTGCTGAGTCCCATACTAAGACATACCTATGATGTTATTTTATGTAACTCAACTATTGGTTTACAGTAAATTTGCTACAAAAATATATGTGCTATAAAAAAAGGTTGAACAGCTGTAACTTTATAAACATTTGAAATATAATATTTAACACATCTAGTATAAATGTTAATTAAGTTGATTAACTTTTCCCACTTATATTTACATTAATTAATTTAATGGATTATTTAAATTTAGTCATAATCATCAACTAACAGTAGTTCAAGAACTGTTAGAGACTAGAGAAAAATGGATAACTGTTTTGTTCGACGTTTAGAATTTCTTAGTAATACCCACTTAAAAATTTATAATCTTGGTTAGACAACAAGTGCAATACTTTAAAATCACTTACATTTTAATTTCAATCGATTCGTCATACAGAGCGGTGATTAAGAAATTTCATCAGTAAATGACTTATTCATAAATAAGTTAGCACCATGAATCCCGACATTCAACTGATAGTTCAAAAAATCTGTCTTAAAGTTAATCGCTATTAAGAACAATAACTAGGAGGTTTTCATAATTACCAAGTAATGAAACATGTGAAAACATTTTTTGAAGAAAAAAGACAGCATATATATACTCCAAACTTACATTATTAAGCCATGCATCAGACAATTTTAATGAAGTACTAAACAATTCAATAGCTGAAGTATTCGATTCCAAATTGAAATCTCCAGTAATTATAATTGCATCAGAACCAGTGGATGTCATGCGAACAAATTCCATTATTTCAACTAATTGAGATATTCGATGTCCATTATATTTATCTAACATACGATCTAATTCATAACGAGCAATTAACTTGAATGGAAACAGAAAAAATAACATTTCGAAAAAAAAAGAAAATTGAGCAACTGAGTATGAGTATATATGTATACAACCAAGTCGAAATTATCATGGGATCATTGATTAGTTAATTTGCAAGAAAATAGTATTTGAATTAAAAGGCTTGAGTACAAATTCTAAAAAAATACTATGATTGATCACATTCTTCTATTTACAAATTTATTAGTTTAAGTACTTACCATTATTAATAAGTGGTTACTAACTTTTATACATGACTTAACAATGTCGATAAATCAAAGATGTGAATATTTCAAGTCAGATAATTGCGATAGCCTATTCAAATAAAAGAATGGTATAGGCTAGTACTATGTGAAGTCCACATAGGTTGTTCTAGTCTCTGGACAGATCAATCTATTCACTCTTCTTAAGCCATATTTTTTAACCTGTCACTTATTCACTTATCTGGACTGTTTTTTATATGGTCACATGTGTGCTAATTACTTACCTTACTTATCACATGTCTTATTTTTGGTCTGACTATAAATATCGATTCACATGTATCTAAATGGAGTTGGATCACTCGCCTTTTCCACCTGGTGTCATTTTGTTTTGCTTCGCCTTCCGATCAACGATTGTACGAAATATGCGTATTGAAAAATTCATTCCTGTATTGCACTTATTTAATCCCGTTACATTTAATGCCTGCTTTATTATTGAGCAAAGATTCAGTAACCCTACTAATTGTCTCTCATTAGTGTCATAGCAACTTGAAGTTTACGTTTAGCTACCAAGGTAAAAGCTAGAACGCTAATTTCCATGTTTTGGTTTCAGTGCCCCTGTTGTTTCGCCAGATCTTACACAATCCATACATTTCAAGAACATGTGCATGATTCTGTATTGTTTAATAAAATGAAATGGTTTTGGTAAACAAGCTTATTGTATTCATAACAGGCCATTCCATAATAAATTCATATTTGCTCAAACTTGGAGGCATTAAAACTAAACTATTTGAAAATAACGACGTTTAAATGGGGATTATCAAAAACACTGGATAACACAATTGCAATAAGGAAAAACAGCTTATCACAAAGATCTACTTTTTCTATGAGTCAAAAGCTGTATAATTATAGGACTGATAATGTCGCAAAATCTGTATAGACAAGAATGACCCGAGGTTCCAGTACTTCTTCTCTACATACAATGAGATGTCCATAGAACACCCATTAAATAAAGAAATGGACAATGCTTCATTAGAAAGCAGTGGAAAATGAGTGAAATGCAAAGGCACAACTTTTTGAAAATTATGAAACAAAAAAGAATTGGAACTGATTGTATCAAAAAACTGCTGACCATTCAAAACCAAACTTTATCGTTTTGATGCATTAGAAGGGGATACTACTAATAAATTTCTTGATACTTAAGCGACTGTCCCAGGTAAAACAGAAATATATGCCTTTGTAACTTGATTAGTTTGGAATATTCCAGGTTCAACAAACTCTGAGAGATCTAACTATATGAGTACTTTTTAACAAAATCTACAAACAACTTTTCATCAAATAAAATCCAGTTAATCAAACCTATTTTTAAAGAGAGAAAAATCTTACGTGGGTTACATAAAAGTTAATCCTAAATCCTTCTTTGCTTGTGATCCGGGCTAACCCAATACCTTTGCCACAATAGTAATCAGCTTGGTGAATAAGATGAGGATATCCGTTAGTAGTAAAAGGATGTGTGAACACACATTCTATAGTCCATTTTGAAAATATGCACATACCAGTTCCTATAAGGTTGCTAGGAAACGATTAGATGACTCCATCGAATACATACCAATAAAAGTAATTAGAGTATGGATACTTCTCGTCCAGAATGTTTCGGAGCTTTCTGTAATCTGATTCCAGCCAAATCTGCCAAAAGCTAGTTCAACGAGTACACCTACCTACCTCCTGAAGTAAAATCACGTCGAAATCCCCAACTGATAACTTCGCGGCAATCGCATTAACACGGTCTTCTTTTCTCACAGTCGGAGACGGGAAAAACACGGCCCTAAAAGATCAACTACAGAAATCTTCACAAACCAGCAATTAAATGTTAAAACCTTGAACTTTTCTTCGACCATGTTGTAAATTATAATATCAGGGGGTGCCAGTGAAGCTTTACGGCTCGGAGATAAATCTCGACGTTTAGTCTGCAGAAAATGTATAAGAAAAATGTACTGCCTAAATAAAGAGGATTCTACTATAAAATATCGTATTATTGCATTTAAAAGATATAACAAGACAGCATACAATACCCATGCAAAAAGATAAGATGAATCGGCTTTCAAACTTTTCAAAACAATGATTATCTAAATGCTCATATGATAGGACCACCCTGCTAAGTAGGAAATCACTCACAAAGCAGCGAAAATTATTCGAAGATCGCTCCGTTACTGAAGTGTTGCCTTACCAATCATATAAAGTTTGATAATACGAATATAACCAATATGACAGGATTTTAACGTGGCGTGCTTTTAGAACATTTTAAATCACTAGTACGTAGAATTGCCTCGGGTTTATGATGATCTGTTGCAAATTTCATTGGTCTTCGTGGAGCATCATAAGTCTTCTGCACAGTTCAGTGTAGTGAGTCTAGTCACTTGATTCCCAGTGACCATCTTCATGATTATGAAGGTCTTTGGACCGACGAATGTCGCTTAAAAATTTCTATTGACTCATTAAACGCTGGAGAAGCAGAAAAATATGTGTTGATGTACAATTGAACTAACTTCGGTTTTTTAGATCACGAAGACCACTGAGCACCTAAGCGCTTATTGTTTTCCCGTGAAAGTGCTGGATTTAGAGCGGCTTACTGCCGTTTTTCAAGTGGTTTGCTCAATAATAAAGCAGGCATTAAATGTAACGATTACAATTGGAATAGTTGCAGCGGCTGCATTCAAAATAACTTCAGTGTTTTACCCGATAATATGATCAGAGCTACTCTCCGGGAAATAATCAATACCGAAATTTCCGAACAACGTGTAAATTTCGATGATGAAATCACCCGAAAAGCTTATGCAGCAATTTGTAATTTTTACATAGTAGTGTCACGAGAGTTAATACACTGGATATGATTCAAGAAAGGAGGAACAAGAAAGCAGTGATCAATACCAGCCGAACAAGAGCAGAAAAAGCCAAGGCACAAGCTGAATACACAAGCAAGCGAAAAGGAGCATCAGAACTGACAAACGTAAATATGTGGAAGGTTTAGCAATGACAGCGAAAAAGGTGCAAGAGAAGGAAACATGAGACTACTGTATGACACGACAAAGAAACTCTCTGGAAATCGTCGCAAACCAGAACGACCAGTGAAAAGCAAGGAAGGCAAGGTAATTACCAACATTGAAGAACAGCAAAACAGGTGGGTAGAACACTTCAAAGAACTCTTGAATCGACCAGCTCCACTGAACCCACTCAACATCGAAGCAGCACCCACGGACCTCCCAATCAATGTTGGCCCACCAACAATTGAAGAAATCAGCATGGCCATCAGACAAGTCAAGAGTGGCAAAGCAGCAGGACCGGACAACATCCCAGCAGAGGCACTAACAGCAGACGTAGCGACAAGTGCAAGGATACTCCACATTCTCTTCAATAAGATTTGGGATGAGGAACAAGTACCAACAGACTGGAAAAAAGTACTCCGTAGACACCCAACTTCGAGACCAACAGGCAGGATTCTGCAAGGATCGATCGTGTACAGACCAAATCGCAACTCTACGGATAATTGTTGAACAATCAATTAGATGGAATACATCACTCTACATCACCTTCATTGACTATGAGAAAGCATTTGATAGCGTGGACAGAACAACACTATGGAAGCTTCTTCGACACTACGGCGTGCCTCAAAAGATAGTCAATATCATACAGAGTTCATATTATGGATTAAACTTAAGAATCGTGCATGAAGGACAAATCACAGATTCGTTCGAAGTAAAGCCCGGTGTCAGGCAAGGTTGCTTACTCTCACCCTTTCTCTTTCTCCTGGTGATCGACTGAATCATAAAGACGTCAACATCTGAAGGGAAACACGGGATACAGTGGACATCTAGGATGCAGCTGGACGATCTAGACTTCGCAGACGATCTGGCCCTTCTATCCCAGTGTGACAGCAGCCTAAGCAGCGGTAGGTCTCCATATACACAAAGGGAAAAGCAAGATTCTCCGATACAATACAACACACACCAATGAAACCACACTTGACAGAGAAGATTTGGAAGTTGTAAGAACCTTTACATATTTAGGCAGCATCATTGGTGAACACGGTGGATGTGATGCAGATGTGAAGGCGCGGATCGACAAAGCAGGAGCAGCATATTAACAACTGAAGGACATCTGGAACTCAAAACAACTGTCAACCAACACCAAGGTCAGGATTTTCAATACAAATGTCAAGACAGTTCTACTGTATGGGGCAGAAACCTGGAGAACTACGAAAGTCATCATCCAGAAGATAAAGGTGTTTATTAACAGTTGTCTACGCAAAATACTTCGGATCCGTTGGCCAGACACTATCAGCAACAACGTACTGTGGGAGAGAACAAACCAGATTCCAGCGGACGAAGAAATCAGGAAGAAACGCTGGAAGTGGATAGGACACCCAACTGCGTCACAAAGCAAGCCTCCACATGAAATCCTGAGGGTCAAAGGAAAAGAGGAAGACCAAAGAATAAATTACGCCGGAAAATGGAGATATACATGAGAAAAATGAACAAGGATTGGATGGAACTAGAAAAAAAGGCCCAGGACAGAGTGGGTTGGAGAATGTTGGTCGGCGGTCTATGCTCCATTGGGAGTAACTGGCGTAATTAAGTAAGTGTCATGAGAGAATTTCATTTTAAAATACAGGAATGCGCTCGTTTATTTGCGCGTAATTCTTGAAAGAAACTGTGGTGAAATGAAAGATTTAATCCACTGACCCGAATCGTAGGGCGTTATGTTAAACGTCTTATCCTAGGCGACATCAATCCATAGCACAGCTGCGCTGAAGAGCTTACGTTGTTGCTCCGTAGATCATTTTACTGGCCATCACAAATAAACGATGGATTATTTGAGAGTCATTTATTTATATACTGTACGACAGATGGCCGTGATTCCTGTATGGAGTGACTACCAAGAAAACTTTAGATTTTTGACATTGTACTGCGATTAATTGTAACCCTCAAACAACTAACTCAATTTTCCTCAGAGTTTTCGTTTTGAACCTTCAATTATCGGTGAGTTTTCGTCATATGTAGCTTGCAATTTTTACTCACATGTCCAGTTCGGGAAAATTTCAAACATGGTGATTTCTTTCTGACTCACCCTGAACTTCGTTATACATGTGAACTGACTAGTTTACCACAACCATACAAATAATAACTCTCACTACACAACAAATTCAGTATATTTATTTTCCACCTTTGCAACCTGCTCAGCAGCCACTTTTTTGTAAATGACAGAATGACTAAGACCTGTTATGTTATGTATCATGTTGGCAAACCTCAAAGACCAAGTCGCATCTGATTAAATCAGCTCTTAAGCAGCGAAAGTTCTTGCTCCAGTCCTTACATTTTTCACGTTTCCATTGATCCTTATCCATCTTATGTGCCTGTAGGAAGAGGTTTGTCCACTTTCTTCATTACACATATCATGTTCAGCTATTGACACTTATCTGTTAGCCGCAAAGTTTTTATACTAGCACAACAAGCATCCAAAAAACAGAGAGCTTGTTGATATATGGTCTGGGTTGGTTTCATTTACATTTAGTCTTTGGCACTAAAATAATATACCTGACCCCAAAATCACAGTTCTGTTGTGATTTGATTGCCTAATCTGTAAGATCTAACATGGAAGTCACATAATTGCCCATACCGACTCATCCTACGTGATAAGCAGCAGTATAACGTTTAACATTTTCGAAGGGATGGAATGATATGTTTGGTATGAAAAGAGATAAGTTCCATAGAGTGACTGTTTCTCCATCACCTAGCCATGCCATACTAACTAAATGTTTCACGCTCACCGCTTCTGATCTCCAAGTGTTAAGTGTTGAATGAGTGTTCTGCTTCAAGGATCATGTGGTTCAAGAACCAAAATCTCTATAAAATCCATCAGATCAAATTTATTCTGTCTGTCGTTGTATTCCACAGGTTCAATTTAAAAAGTGACTAGTCCCGAATTTCAACCGTATCTAGCTGAACATCTGCTTCATTATCATCAAGCAGTTAACCAGACAAAACGGAAGTACCTATTGAATGATTACTCAGTCAGCTAACAGACAATTGTCGATATATCTCCACAAACAGAACCATAAAATAAGGAATACTCGCTCGTAGCAAAAATTTCTGAAGTTAAACTCGAACCAATTTTCAATTAGTATGAGATCAAATAAGAAACTCAAAACCAGATAGTGAACTGGAAGATGTTAGAAACCAATCCCATAATTTCAGCTGGAGTTAAACGGAAATTGGAAACTGACAGAAGCTCAGTGACAAATAGAAACTGTTATGATTGGCAGACTTACTGTCAATTAATAAGAATATAAGCTCGATAATTCAACCACGCACTGACTGAGGAGATATGACAAACAATCACTTGGCGTACAGATTTATCAATGTCACTTGAAAGCTCCGACCCGTTGCACTTGCTAGAAGTGCTTGAGAGTCACAAAAATCAGTTGCGAAAACAAAAACATTGGTAATTCCGTTTACCATTTTTTCTGATATTCCATTCCAGCTATGGTGCATGAGGACTTCGAACAACTGAATAACACTGATTAAAGAATGAAATTCTAGTTTGTAAGGACAAAACCCCTAGTTTCCATTCTGTCATGCAGTCGATACTGTTTTTTGCAGGCAATAAGCCTATTGTTGATGAGTTTGTGAGAACTAAACCTTAGCCAGGATGACAGCCTAAAGGTTTGGTGTATGGCGGATGAAGACATAACGCATAACTGACCAAACAAGAATATTCTCAAGAAGATTCAGTTATCTATCCTGGTCAACAGAGTTGGCCTTGTAGAATTATGGCACAAGTTCGTTGTTACTATTTTTCTAATAATAGACTTAGTCATAATATTGTAGATTTGTCATGATGTGACTAATTATCCTATAAGATCTTACGTGGAATTCACATCATAGTCTACACTGACTCATCGTATAGTGACAAATAGCAAATATGATGCTTCTGAAGAACACATTTGGGCTGAACATAGAATAATATATTCAAAGTGAATAAAGACATGTTATACAGAATGACCACGTCTGCCAGGACGAGCTATGCCATTTGATTGAATTAATTAATTATTCCTGCCTTCAACAAGTTTGGTCTTCTCGCTGTGTCAAATGCTGAATATATATTTTCCCAGTTATCTCGCGTTCAGCTTTGGAGATTTTGTGGTTCAAATGGTTCAGATGGTTGTGGACGGAATAGAAGAAGCTTTCGCTTAACAGGATTCCGTGTCTAGTAGCAGGGGATCACCAAATCCTCCAGGCAGGAACCTAGGTATGTTAACAATAAAAGAAGAAAAGAAAATTGTAAATCATAGTGTGATGCTGTTCTTGGTTCTTAAGAGTAGGTCAAGTTGCATCTTGAAGCACTCCTGAGAAGTCGCTTGAACTAGCTCGGCCGGCAGCGAATTCCAGCTTTTGACAACTCTTAAGGAGTAGAAGTTGTGTCTACATTTCGTCTTGCTACGTTGTGCTTCCAGTTTCTGGGTGTTACCGCCTAGGTTATTATTCGAACTAAGCTTAAGTAGGTGTTTAAGAGGATGTCCAGAAGTGTTAAGAATACTATAAGCCATTAATAAATCACCTCTAAGACGCCTATACTCTAATGGGTAAAGGTCTAGTGAATGGAGGCGTTCTTCGTAAGGTTTAGATTTGAGTCCTCGAACTGATTTCGTGGCTCGCCGTTGGATACG